CACACACACACACACAAACACACAACTTTCAAGTACCTTTATGCTGTCGTAGCAAGCAGTGACGCGGCCGTTTTGAACCTCCACATTGGCGGCCGGATGCGCGAACTTGCAATCCGTATCGGGTCTGGTGCACTTGTTTCGCTGGTATTCCCTGCACACCTCCAACTGCAGCCATCTCGAGTCTTTGCCGTTCAGCAGATTGTTCATGTTCACTACGGCCATGTTATCGCGGTTTTTTTTTRTCACGGATTTGCGTTAACGTAGAAAAAGCAATCTGTCGTAGATATTCGGCTGCTGTGGGCCGCGGACGCGCGTACAATTTTATTACACTCGGAGGAGTATAATATTACGACGAAACGGTCGTGGCGGCTCTATACGGATAATATATCCGGTCGGCGGAACTACCTGTCGCGCGCGGTGCAAGACTCGCAACAATGAATGCGATCGGAAGACGCGTGCACGGCGTACGCACACACTATGCCGACTGCCGGACGTTGTTTTAGTTTATCTCCGTTGGACCGACTGCGACGGTGTCAAGCGAGTGCTGCGGCGACGATTCCTCCCTCTCCGGTCAGACGTTTTCTCCGTTTGGTTTTTCGGTTCACTGGGCGGCTGTCCCGTGGCCGTACACCAGCTATATTATGCTATACGCTGCAGGCAGGCACACAGGTACACAAAACGACGGCCGTACGACTCGCTCGAAATGACGACGTGCGTACAATATTATTTTAATATTATGATAATATTATCAATGATTTGATGGACACGGCGAGAAGCTGCGGGCGCGAACGAACCGTTTCCGGACGAGCGTGGCGTGCGTGAGCTATCTGAAAAACAAAACGTATCGATATAGTAAAGGTTAGGTAAACTCGTAACATCCGTGTRTATGGATTATAATATTATGCTATAAAAATATTATAATATTATGATAATGGCAGTGTAGTAGTAGAAATATGAATTCAAGACACTTTATTATTATTATTATTATTATTTTTTAATTCACCCTCGGCGACATGGGCCGTTGGGTTACAAGGATTATTGTTTCCTGTATTATTTTTGTTGCTTTATGTGCAGTGTGATGACGTGTTCTTTGATATTATAAAAAAAATAAATCAACCTGAAACAATTTTCCCCGTAACTGGTCGGGGAGGGTGGGAGTGTGAATAATTTACTCAATATACCATTTACTAGTCCACTACACTCCGTCGGTGTAGCAAAATAAGTGGTATTGTCTAATTATTTTGGCGAAACCATAGCACTTATAATATAATACCTAAATGTCATCATTATTATGATTACGATAGCTATTATATTATGCTTTACAGTATTGTTTTTATTTAGCTACCTATACTTATAGTAGATAACTACTGTAAAATATTATAATTTGGCGTGATTTTTTTCTCTCGATTCTCGTAACTTACTGTTAATGACAACTATTATGATAAAAAATACGCTTATCCGCCACACCCACCCAATATTTTTTATTACATCGTTGCTGGACGTGCTAATTACCGGCACATGCTATGCATATACAATACACATAGGTATAATACGTGTCTATATTACATGACGTAATTAAGGCATTTGACTGCAGTAAGTGTATATACTTACTGAGACGTCKTATTATGACTACCTCATCAGTCATCGTTTATAATATATATAGCGAGTTCCGTTTAATAGGACGTGTTCGCGTTTGTGCGGCTCATTTCCCTTCTACAAAATATTATATTATACCATAGGTACCAATTGACATTATAAAATACTTTTTTTTTTGTTTTTTAATTATCTCATGTCGTAAACGTTCGCGTTAAGTTTGCATTGTTTTTATTATTCCCCGCAGATCGTGGAAATGCACGCCATCGTCATCATAACGCTATAATAATAACTTGATCTCGCCTCCGAGTCGACCGAAATGTACCGCACGAATGCGCATTTTGTACAGCTAGAGGTTTCGATCTCACTAGAATTCCCGAGTGTCCTCAAGACGTATACAATCGTACGACATTCAAATCGACACACTGGCAATTAAACTGTTTCGCGGGTACAGTTGTACCGCGTGCGGATCTCACAAAACGTATTTCATTAGTTCATTACAATGGTGCAGTGTACATATTATCATTATTATTTCGACGAAAGCTATACGTGTGGCGACCAAAGTCCACCGACGTTACACCGCACGCCCAAACAATAATATTATGAAGGTAGGTATTTAATTTATTATTATTGCAGACTGATTTTCGTCATGATTTTTCAAAAAAAGTTGCCGGACACAGTTTTTCCGCCGTCCGYCATCGAGGCGATATTACAAAGTTATTATGACGTAAAGAGTTACATTTAAATAATATGTATTTATGCACATACAAGACACCTAGCTACCACAACTGTCTCGTATATTATACAATATAAGTTGGTAATTTATAGTGTASAGTATGCGTGTAGGCGCGTATAATAATAATAATATTAAAATTCATTAATTTCGCATGGTGTAAAAGGACGYTTTTTTCATCACATCGACCCACCACGAGTCTTTTAAGTTTTGAAACAATCCTGTGTAGTACAGTCGGCACGTGGTAGGTTCGCCGTCCCGGGCGCATATATATATATATACATATAATGTATAAAAGCAACGTCAGCGTTGGCGTTGGACTGTGACGACGGGTTCTTTTTTTTACTTCTCCGCGTGAAAAGGACCTTCGTTGCGGGACGGTGGTAGCGGAAGGAGAAGGACACCGCTGCAGACGGTGGTCGGCGGTGGCACATCGGAAGGAGCGTGACGCGAATTATAAGATTGCGGCTAAAACGTGTGTACGAGAATATAATCATTACAAAAGGGACGTGGTGGTCGCTTCGTTGTCGTCGTCGGTGGAGCGTGCTCGAGAATTATTAAGAGCCGCCCAAAGACGTGTGTGTGTGTGTGTGTGTGTGTGTGTGAGAGAGAGGGAGCTATACACACGCACACAAGCAGTAAATCCGTGTGTAAAGTATACCGCAAGTCGGTGTAATGTAATAAGGTGTATATGTGGTAGAGAATAAATAATATGCGGATAACAAAATAATATAACTATTTCGTGATGCAAAGTCCGCGACTACCGAACTATATAGGTAATAAGTAATAATATGTGCTAACTTGCGTAAGTTTTGTCCATTCAATATGTGTACGAACAACTATTTATACGACAAACCCGTCTTGCGATTGATGCAGTAACCCAACGAGGCACATCACTCGTAGTCAATTTTTATAACTGTGAATTATAATTCATTTTTTTTTTATATATACCGGGTGATT